TTAGTTCCCTTTCATTTGCAACATCTTAGTGGCCAAGCTATTATTGCACATTCTTCGAATTTCATTATCTGATTCTGTCCAATAAGAAGTTACCCAGATCTTTCTCATATACAGTCTATTTTTTTTCTTATTCACCCCTTCTCCCTAACTTGACTTCATCAATTCATTTTCCTCTCTCAATTTTTGTCCTCAGTAAATTATTCTTCTAACATATCCCCTTGAGGGATAACGAGGACCCTTAACCCTCAGTAGGGCAGTGTTCAGAGAGTCACTGAGAGGAAGATAGTTGAGGGCATATGAAGAATGGATTTTAGAGCTGCTTGGCTCCTGTGATTTTAAGCCTGGAATGTGGGTCAGGTGCTCTGTTCATATCCAGTTCCTGTGATTGCTGCATTGTTTTACTTTGGAAGAGCTGCTATCAGAATTATAAATACTTTCCCCTGCATTGCAGTTTCATTAAGGACATTCTGAAGGAATTGATGTGGTTTTCACTATCTTCGTTGTAATACTTCACCCAGTTTGGGTAGGAATCAAAGTCCATAGGTTCTAGCAAAAAAGTGGTTAATGTAACACATAAAATGACTATTATCGTAAGGGGTTAGTGTCAAGAAGTATCATTTTATGCAGAAAAATCTTCCTAATTTTTTTCTATGTTTGAAGACTTAAAGGCATTAATATTTTTTTTTAAAGATTTATTTTATTTATTCATACAGAACTGGGGTACAGGCCAGAAGCTCAGGGGTGGCGAGAGGCCTCACCAGAGACAGAGTGGGGAGCAGAACAGGCAGATCGACGAAGTACACTGCAGAGGGGAGCAGTGGGTGGGTCAGGAGAGGTCTGCCTCGCCATGTGGTCTCCTCCGGGGCAGGCAGGAATCGAACTCATGCGGAAGTGGCTTTAGCTTCTTAGTGCAGTGCTTTAACCCGCTGCGCCACCAGGGAGGGCCAAAGGCATTAATATTTTAAGGTCAAGGATTTGAGGTTTTCTTTTCTTAATCCTAGTTGCTTTACCTGTAATTTGTATCTTTTAACAGTAGATGAAAATGTGGACCTCAAGGGAATCACTTCTTGTTGAAGATACTGCCTTTCCTGCTCTGTGAACATACACACTCACACACACACACCCTTGAAACTCCTATGTAGTCTTTTTATTTGGAACCATATTGAGTCTATTTTTACTAGTGGACAGGTTTAAAAATTGCCCTAGTTTTAAGGAATCCTTTAATACCATGTTGTGACTTTAGTTTTCAGAGATTTAGGTAGCATATGCTATCAAAAGTTTAGGTATCTTCTTTTTATAGCAGCCATCCTTTACTCCTTTATACTAGCTTTTTTTTTCTAAAGATTTTTTAATTTATGTATACAAGAACTTGGGTATGGGCCAGAGGTGCGTGATTGAGAGAATTCACCAGAGACAGAGTGGGGAGCAGAACAGGCAGATCAACTGAAATACACTGCTGAGAGGAGCAGTGGGCAGACAGGAGAGGTTTGTTGCACCATGTGGGTCAGTTCCCTGGCCAGGGATAGAAATCATGTTGCAGTGACTAGCGATAACTTGACCGTACTGAGTCTTAACCCCTTGCACTACCAGGAAGGCCCCTACACTAGATTTTCTTCCATGAAATTCCTTTTTTCTAGAGTTGAGATCAACAAAACATTTTCTTGGGGAAAACTAGACTGCAAGGAAATTTATGATCCTTTCTTTAATGCCAATATTTTTTTAAAGATCTTTTTATTAATGCATACAGAACTGGGGTACAGGTGAGAGGTGGTGAGAGGATTCACCAGAATGGGGATAAGAACAAGCAGATTGATGAAGTACACTCCTGAGGGGAGCAGCAGGTGAGACAGGAGAGGTTTGCTGTGCCGTGTGGATTACTTCCAATGTCAAGGATTGAACTTGCACTGAAGTGGCTGCAGCTAGCTTATAGTGCTTCACTTTAACCCACTGTGCCACCAGTGTGTTTTTTAACCTTGTATATATTATATAATTTTGAGCCCTGTAACTTAAAGTATAATTGTAGAAGTATTAAGAGAAAGAATTTGATGAAATCATTGAATGTTAAAGCTTAAAAGGGCATCTTAGGGGTTTTATAGTAACCAATCCTGATACTACACGGAGGAACAAATGAAGGTTTGTTGATTCACTCATTAATCATTCATCTACTCATTCAACACATACTTATTTAATACTTATTTCATTAGGTGCTTGGGAGTATTTTTGCTCCTGTGGGTTTTATAATAAATAGATCATAAACATAATTAAGTTAAATACTATGCTTAAAAGTAGTTTGGGATGGGGGAGAGGAAGTGTTTGAGTGTGAGGATGGACTTTAAATATAAAATGGGCAAGTCCATGAAAATGATGACACTTCAGCACAGATTTGAAGGAGATGAGGTGTAGATGGTAGACTATGTGGCTAAGGGGCATAAATTTCAGATAAATAATGAATAATTAAAACACACATATTCCATTCAATATGTGAGTATGTATTCATGTGCCAGAATGATACCTGTTCTTAAAATTAAAAAAAACAACAACAGAAAAAGCCCAACCTTTTCAGTGTCTCAGTTGATTACTATTGATTGTTCTTACCATTATACTGTTAGTTCTAAAGCTTGGGCCCACATAGCAAAATTTATATCTATCTCTTTCCTCAGTTGTCTATATTAGTTTTTCATGTTGTGGTTGTCATATACCCCAGTGTGTTATAAATGCAATTTGTTGGACCCTAGTCCGGATATACTGTGTCACAATTTCTTGGGATAGAACAAATTATTTTCATGACTGCCTGTTATCCTTAGTTCTAGGTGCAGAAGTGATCAGAACATACAAAAACCCTTACCCTAATGGAATGAACATTCTAGTCAGGGACACATAGTAAACAGTATATATCCACATGTACACACTATACATCTCTTAGTTTTCTGACTGATTTTTGCTTAATTTTCACTAATACAATTAAGAAATTTTTCTTTTATTAAATGGTTGGAATGTTTGACTCAAGGTAGGCAGAAAAAGAAGGGACTTGATTCAATTCTACATTGAGTAAATTCCAATTGCCATCCAAGACTAATTGAAAAGAGTGTGCAGAGAATCATGGGATTCTTAAATCTAGATACTTCGAGGGAAAGGAGTACCTGAATGAATGTTTACTTACAAATAATGGGGTTGGGCTGCTGTGAGATTCTCTTTTGATGGCATCTATTAGCAGACAACATGGATAAAAGAAACATGTCATGAACTTCACAATCGTCTTTAGTATAAATCTTGTTGGAAGAACAAAGCGATATCAAAACTGCTGTTGCTGCTTTTGAAATCTAACACACACACAAAAAGGACTTGTAGGCTTTCAAATTGAAGCTTGCATGCAATAGTAATGAAACAGTATAATCACTGAATAATTCTGCCACCTTTTACAGCTTTCACAGGGTGTTATGAATTATAAAGAAGCAAGTCAAATAATCTAAATGCTGTCTTTGGCTTTGATCTGTCTTGTTTTATGTCATCTGCTATATTTTGAGCACTGCAGGAAAGTTAGAAAAAGGAGAATAATATTAGGTACCAACAATATTAGATTAAATTTATGGTGACATTAAAGATATAGTCATACTTCAAAATAGTGAATTTATAGTTATTTTTATTTATTTATTAGTAATAATTTTTTTAATCTGTTAGATATTTTGCGATACTTTTGTAGTGATCTTTCTTTTGAACCTGGCTGAATTAAAGATAAGGAAAATCCTAATTGGAGATTTCTTGACTAAATATAATAATTTTAGGAGGAATTAGGTGGAAAGAATTTATAAAATTAAGCTATTTAGACACCCAGCTGCATATATTATTTTATAGTCACCCTACTTAGCTTATTTATTTTCCTATACTGTAAAACTGTCTGGAAATTTAAGTTGAGAGACTATTTATACATTTAGAATAGGAACCAATTAAAAAATAATGGAGTAAATCCTGACAAACAAATGAAATTTTATTTGGCATCTTTTGAATAATGCTGAATTCTAGACTTGAAAATATGAAGTATAAGAAATAATTTTGAATCTGGAGATAGGTAGATAACATGCAAAATGAAGGATTGTTTAGTGAAAAAAAATTTTTTTTTTTTGAGATTGAGTTTTGTCTTGCCAGGATATAGGTAGAGAGGGAAGAGTCATCAATTTTGGTGAAACATAATTTAAACACCTATAGCTAAAAATAGCATTTTGTTTTTGCATATGAGGAAAACTAGTAACAGACTAATTTGCTAAAGAGAAAGAGGTGAGGGGGAGAAGAAAAAAAGACATATTTGTTAATAGGGAATTTTGTTTTCCTTTCCTTGACTAGATGAGACCAGTCAAGAGAGTCTGCCCTGGGATAGACCTGGGATATCACAAGGATAGATCATCAAAGAAAAATGATTTTAGTTGTTTATGGATTCTCCAGAATATCTTGCATATTTAACTTTGACTTTCACATATTAGGTTATCTCTGTGCTATGTCTGCCACTATTCTCTAGCATCTCCCTACCAGGTCTACATCAGATCTTGCTTTATTATGGTCTGTTTCTGTGATTTCCACCCCTCCCAATTACCCCTACTTGATATTTGGTATGCTAGATGGGCTTTCCAAATATTAATTCTCCATCTCCCTAGTGTTTTATTTGTCATTATAAATCATTATTTAATATTGTGAGAGTGTAATTTGTGTTGAGATCAAAAAGGCCACAGCCTATTTGTGAGTCAGTTTGGAAGATCTGAACCACAGTGTGTAAAACATACGCAGTGGATTTTTCTACTGTTATCCAGAAGAAATAAGTAAAACAATGAAAAAGTACTTATTTTAAGCAATTTGTGCTCTTTTACCTTAATGTTGTTTTGTTTGAAAGTTTAGGTCATCATTTTGGAACATTTTGCTTATTGTGGTTACTGTAGTCAGACTTAGTGTTGCTTTGTGCCTTATCTTTGGTGAGGACTAGGAATAATCTGGCAAATAATGTTTTCTTTCAGTCAAAGGCTGTTGGTTTGTTGGATGTGGATGTGTATGGCCCTTCAGTCCCGAAGATGATGAATCTGAGAGGAAATCCTGAATTATCACAGAGTAAGTAAAGGACACTTTAGTAGTATGATGATAGTTATACTTTTATTCAGTTGTTCCTGGGTGTCAGATATTGTGCCCTGTACCATATGTACTTCATATGTAGCTAGTATAATAATTCCAAAAAACAGGTATGGAGCCATGCAGTTTAGTTTTGAATCTCAGTTCAGTCACAGACTTGTGAATTTGAGTGAATTGTGTCTCAACCTCCCCATATGTACTTAACCAGAAAGATATGCTATGAATAATCTCTGTTACAAAATTGTTGTTATCCGTAATGCATTTAGTAGAAGTATGATTCCTGGCACATAATATGTGATCAAAAGTTATTTCATCATCATCTCTTTATATTAAATGTGCGGTGGATTGGGAGTATATAATGGAAAGTATACATTTGTGTTAGAAAAACTAAAAATTATTTTCTTTTCAGATTTTTATTGTATTTGTCTTAAAGTATTAAAAAAACCCTCAAATATTATGTTCTTTTCCCAGTTTTCACTGCTGTTAGTAGGACAAAGTAATTTTTTTTGAGTAAATCTTTAATATTTACTAGTCTTGTCATTACATTTTCTTACAAACTAGCATGTTGAAAAAAAAAAAGCAGCAAAACAAAAACCAAGCTATCAAATATAAAGGTTTAAGAGCAAGGAAATGTTATCAGTGAAAAATGAGAAATTCGAACAATTGTTTATTTTTCTGAAAAAAAAATGCTTTTAGGTAAAATAATTTTCCTTTTAATTGAACTAAGAGGTGGAATAATGTTTGTATTTTGATGCTGATTTTAATTTGTCAATGATTTAGATAATAGAAGCATTTTTGTTATTAAAAGTTAGTTGTCTGCTATTTATGGTGCTTTTATTTGTGTTTAGCTATTGGAGTCAGTTATACTTTAAGTTCTGACTAATTGTTAAGACAGTAAAGAGTCTCCCAAACATTTTAAGAAAACAAAGATCTATTGATAAAATTGATCTCAGCCATCTTATATTACAAGCACCCACTTAGTTTTTTCTTTCATGAAAATATTAACTTAGTTTGTGAATGTGATACAAGCCAAGATGTCAAATTTTCACAAAGATGGAATAGTGAACTTGGGTACTTTAAATGATAAATTCATTATGTCTCTCTCTTGATTAAAGTAATGTGAAACTGGTACATGCAGCACATGAGTGATGGCAAAATGGAACTGTTGGTGTCAGTCTTTTCCTAAGTAGTTTGTTCAGTCTATGCCAACATAAATATTTAACTTTAATTTCTTTTCTTGTTTTACTGAAGCTGTAGTGTTAACTTTTGTGTTTGCAAATTGGCTGACATTAAATAGATTTTCTGGTAAAGATGAGATATTGCAGCTCATGAAAAGCCTGAAATGAATACTTTTTTTGTGTTGTCAGACTGATCATAAGTCCTTCAAGAAATAAGCTAAATGATTTAGTCATTCACTTAGAGAATGTGGATTCTTAAAAGCCCAATTTATAAATTATTTTTGAAATCTTAGATAGACTTACCACTGTTACACTAATTGGTGCCATTTTGACATTTCTACATTTTATCATGTTAATTTATTTTGTTGCGCTCTATATTACTGCAAACATGATGCATTGTAAAATCCAATTAACAATAAAAAAACTGTGAAAGATTTGTTTTCAGCAGTTCAAAATTTGGGAAGGTAGACTAGTGAACTGAATATCAGCTTCATAAATGTTTCTTTGTTCTTGGCCTTAGCTGGACAAATTTAGGTCAGCATGATTACTTCAGGAATGTCCCTTTTAATTTTTTTTTTTTTTTTAAGATTTATTTATTTGTTCATACAGAACTGGGGTACAGGCCAGAGGCTCAGGGGCAGCGAGAGGCTTCACCAGAGACAGAGTGGGGAGCAGAACAGGCAGATCTACAAAGTACACTGCTGAGGGGAGCAGCGGGCAGGTCAGGAGAGGTCTGCCATGCCATGTGGTCACCTCCGGGGCAGGCGGGAATAGAACTCATGCGGAAGAGGCTTTAGATTCTCAGTGCTGTGCTTTAACCCGCTGCGCCACCAGGGAGGGCCGTCCCTTTTAATTTTTAAATAGATATTTAGTAATATAGTTTTTGTCAATTCATTTTAAACTTCCCAGTTAGGGTTGGCAGATCATAAAGTAGTCTCATATTTTCCCTTTGGGGAATACTGTAGAAAACCCACCCAGCTTCTGTAGTTATATGCTTTAGCCTTCATCATGATGAGACATTTTATGTTTGTTACTAGAAAAGTAAAATCAGTAGTTGCAGAAAATTTTTTTATTATAGTTTTGGTTTTCTTAGGCTGAAGATGTTTATATCAGCTTTAAAAGTACAATAGTGATTTGTCTATGCTGTTTTGCAAAATTATGGCAATGGAAGTGTGGCCAGTTTGTAGAAAGAGCATTATAAAAACTCTCAATAGATTAATATTGTATGGCTGCAAATGACTAGTTGGGGGTGGAATTTAAAATCCATGTGTAGGTGGGGAAACTATCATCAAAACATGAATGTACCTTTCTTTTAATGAACAGATACCAGTTTTTTTTTCTTTTGTAACTTTCCAAATGGAAAACACAATATTCAAATTTCATGTTATAGCATCAGAAAATTATAGTCCTAGGAATTTTTCAATTGAAACTGCAATTGACTATAAATATTTGCACACAGAAATGTGTTGTTTTATTTTGCTAATATAATACTACTTTTTTGTGGGTTGAAAACCAGCTTGACAGTTTTCACAATTGACCTATGGGTAGAGGTAACTACTGTCTTTCACAGTTTTATGATGATAAAACACCTTCAATATACTTGTGAATTTATTAAGGCTTAGTTTTTTTTTTCTCATTTTAAAAAATTTATAATAGTTTATTTTTACATATTTTTGTGCATTTTTCCATCTCAGTTGCAATCCCCTTGGGTTTTCCATCACCAAATCACCCATGTGCCATCACCAGTGTCCAGTGCATTTCCCTCTCCCCACTGTTTTTGATCCCATTCCCCACTCCACCCCCACAAAATGTCTCTGGTATATAGCTGTTCATCATTATCATTATTTTCTCACCTGTTCCGTTATATTCCTGCTATGAGAGAAGCCATCTGGTATTTTTCCTTTTCTTTCTGGCTTATTTCACTAAGCATGATCTTTTCCAGCTCCATCCATGTTGCTGCAAAAGACACGTATTTCTTTTTTTTGGTTATTGAGTAATATTCCATTGTGTATATGTACTACATCTTTATAATCCTGTCATCCATTTTTGGGCATTTGGGGTGTTTCCATGTCTTTCCAATTGTGAATAAAGCAGCAGTAAACAAAAATATGGAACGCTTCATGAATTTGTGTGTCATCCTTGTGTAGGGGCCATGCTAATCTTTTCTGTATTGTTCCAATTTTAGTATATATGCTGACGAAGTGAGCACAAAGGCTTAGTTTTACTAAAGAATGTCCTTATTGTACTTAGCTAATGAAAAGGAACTTTTTAAGGCATACAGAAAGAGGTAACTAAAATTGAAATATCAAGTAATTTTATTGAGGATGATACAGTGCTTATTAATGATTAAATGTGAGACATTTGAGTAGGATTCACTTATCTGTTCTATTGTTGTGGGATAGAAATTTTCCACTCATGTCACAGTATTCTGCTTTGTTTTAAGGTATTAAGCATTTTTTCAAGCTTAAGGATGAATATGTACATGGGTTTACATAACAGAGAAATCATAGAAAGTTAGCATGGGAAAATGACCTTTTATAATAGCCCTTATCCCAGTAAGAATACAGGAAATAACTAAGGCTTTACAGTGGTGATTTAAGTGCACATTGTGTGAGTGAGCTCTAGTTATTCTTGAAGAGAGTGAGTGTGTTGAAGTTGTTGTCATGGATGATTAAAATCTGATCCAGTGGCTGGAGCTCCTAGATCTTTTTTTAAGTCATTGTCTTGTGACCCTTCCTTGGGTTCCATTTGATACTAGAGACTTCTCTGATTATCTTGGGGAAAGATTCTGGGATGTATTCCATAATTACAGTGTTACAGGAATGACTTTCTTTGCTGCTCTCTAGATTTTGCTTATAACCTCTTTTATACTTGATATATTTTAGAAGGTGATATCCATAGTCAGGGGTTGAAGGAATCTTAAAAAGTTTGATTTGCTCTGGCTGTATGCCATTTTATCTCTGAAATAGTTCACAGATGAAGTCTGTGTTCTTTGAAGAGTACCATTACCTGAACTTATCAAGAACAAGTCTATCCAACTTTCTCTCCAGCTCATAGTTTCTCACACAGGTCATTGAATAGAGCTGAATTAAATACCTGTCTAATGTGGTTAAATTTTTTTCTTTGATATTCCTTACTTAATGAATAGCTGGTAGATTTTCAGTTTTACTTTGCTACAAATGATCTGAGCTGGGGACTGCAGCAAGTGAAGTAGATGAAGAATGCTTTATTTAGCTGCAGCACAGCTAAATGTAGTGCAGTTCCTACTGCCTGCTAATTTTGGGTTTTCTTCCATAGGATGACCACAAATAGTGTTGACCATGAATGGATATACATATGTAAAATAGGTCATACAGCTTTGTGCACCTGCTTCAAGATGAGACTGGTGTTCTGTGATGCTTTTACTTTTTGTGTTACATTAGTCCCCCTTTATTTGAGGTTTAGTTACCTGCAGTCCGCAAGGTCTGAAAATGTTATGTACTATATAAGATATTTTGAGAGGAGATGTCGTATTCAGATAACTTTTCTTATGGTATATGGTTATAATTCTTCTGTTTTATTATTGTTACTCTTATACTGTGCCTATTTATAATTTATGCTTTATTATAGGTATATATATATATATATATGAATAGGAAAATGCATGGTCTACCTAGTACATACAGGACTGTTCTAAAAATGTGTACTTTAGTAGTACAGTGCATTTATAAGTAACCATATTTGTTAAGAAAATGTGTACTTCACTGGCACATCCACTATAGTGCCAGGTTTAAAAAAAAACCAGCAACTTTTTTTCTTCTTATT